GTAGTGAACTCATGATAATGGGTTGCTCACTGTTGCTACAGAAGGAGAGCAAGTGTTTTGATTTTGGGGGGGGGGGGGGGGTTTCAAGTTTAGATGTAGAAATCAATCAATAAAAAAATATGGACTTAACTTGTGGTGCTACAAAAAGARAGCAAGTATTCTGATTGTTGACAGGGATGATGGCAGTGTTGTGACGCTGCAAATTTTGAATAAAATACAGAAAGGATGGGGTCAAGCGAACATATCAAATCTGCAGCCCCCAAGTATGAATTCCTTGATTTACCCGGTAAAATAAACTACAATATTGATTCCTAAGGGTAAGCACTTACCAGATAAGCATTTAGGTAAACGGTCCCTTAGTCATGGTAACTAAAATTTGATAATGTTATTTTTCTCAATTCATTTTTTTTCTCTTATAGGCATGTGTTTTTTTTATTATTATCTCAACTAATTAACTAAAGCCTTCAAATTTTATTTTACAGACAGTAACTTCTTTTGGGAGGAAACTGCTACAAAAGCACTCTGGCGTCGAAAATRTAGCAGAGTGACATTGGAAAGATATTTGTGTATATTCTACAGCTTAGAGTGCTTAATTGTTCATCTGAAATAAGTATAAAGGTAATTAGTGAGGCATGTGTAACAAACAAATTCTAAACATATATTCATTTAACAAACAAATTCATCACCAAACCAACATCCGCCTAATTATCTACAACCATACATAATAGAATGGGTTTTAGAGAATGGGTTATTGGGTTCATTATATTATAATAGAATGGGTTTTAGAGAATGGGTTCATTATATTATATAAACCAAACAGCCTCTTTTATTTTCAATCTCATTATTTACTGCTTAATACCTCCAATAAACACCCCCTAAGTGATAAACACTTTCCCGATACGGCATATATAAATTTCAAATTATTGTAGTTAGTTTCTCATTGCAAACCACAATAGTAAAGCTTATATTTCTTTGATTAGCTAAAAACATGTAGCTACAAACAAGTAAAAACCATCTTATAGATATGGAAAGAGTTCATTTAGACTCACCGATCAAAAACAGCTATGTACTTGTTCGATCAAATGATCGATAAGTCTATAAAACTGTAACCTAACACTGGAAAGCTAAAGAGAATTTGGTAAAAGAAATCATCAAAATAAAATTAAAGACCAAAATATATGGTTCCATGCATGGAATTATTTGCCAAGTGGATCATCATAAAAGCAATTAGAAGTTTACCTGTAGGGCCTGTGAAGTATGCAATTTGTCTGGTGATTTGAATATCACGATCACAAATTCGGAAATAAAAGCAAAAAGTTAAGAAAGTTTATGAACAAGCGCCTTTGCAATTTCAGATTCCCCAAGTAAAAGTAAGTTGAAAAAAAAGAAACGTGAATTTAATTGTGAGACTTACTCTGTTAGAAAGCTCAGACGTTCCGCAAGTGGAGTAAGCCTAATCAAACTCAAAGCAAAAATCCATGGCTACGAAACCAGAGATACTAATCAGAATCATATACTGCATCAATGTATCGTATATACAAACTTGCATGAAACAATTTATGTTCAACACTTACTCTACCGTAACTGTAACGTTGAGCGACAAACGCCATTGGAATGGCCGGAAAAAGCACGAAAAGCTTGGTTCCAAATATGACTTGTCGAACATTCTCGAAAACCATCTGTATGAAAAAACCATCTGTATGCACAAGTAAAGCTTATATATCTCTAATTTTTGAGAAAGAGTGTTTACTTGCAAATGAAAAAACCATCTGTATAACAACCAAACAGCCCTGTTTGATTCAATTTTCTGCACAAGTAAAGGGCTGTATAACAACCAAACAGCCCTGTTTGGGAAAGAGCGTTTACTTACATTAAGCACCTAAGATGACTTGAGGAAGACTTTGACAATTATATATCTCTGATTAGCTAAAAACATGATAGCTACAAACTTTGCACATTTATTGTCGAACCATATTAAAGCTCATACATATAAACTGATTTTTGAGAAAGAGTGTTTACTTGCAAATGAAAAAAAAACATCTGTATAACAAACAAACAGCCCTGTTTGGTTGTTATTTTATGCACAAGTAAAGGGCTGTATAACAACCAAACAACCCTGTTTGAGAAAGAGTGTTTACTTGCAAATGAAAAAAAAACATCTGTATAACAAACAAACAGCCCTGTTTGGTTGTTATTTTATGCACAAGTAAAGGGCTGTATAACAACCAAACAACCCTGTTTGAGAAAGAGTGTTTACTTACATTCAGACAGATTTTTTTTAAATCTATGGTGTTCTAACACGTTTGAGAATATCACCGCTTAACAGAAGAATGCCACTTCTATACACAAGAATGCATAGAACCTTGTAAGAAGATCATAAATTTCAAAAACACCTGTCAGGAGGTCCTAGATTCAAAAAACACTTGTCAGGAGGTCAGTTAGCTAAATAACCCATGAGAAACAAACATCATGAGGTCACTACCAAACATCAAAAGAAACAACCCAGACTTGGTTTCTAAGAGGATCAAGCAGATAAATCTAGGTTCATGGTGAAAAACCATCAAAAAGTCTAAAGTATCTTTCCATTCTCATCTCCTATTTCCTGTAAACTCCAACCTTATATCTAGTGAATTTCTGAAGTTAATAATCAGAGCATGAAGCAATTTAGAAGTGAGCATGAATACACAAACACAAAGTCAATAAGATGAACACCACCGTATTTTAGATTTCTTCACAGGGACATGATTTTCCAAAATAATCAAGAATGTGTAGTGATGCAAATAACAAGACCATGACTAAGTATCATTCTGCCAATGAATATCCAAGCTAACCAACAACTTCTTCCTTATCCAAATGGTTTAAGTAATTAAACAAGTGAATCCCTAATAACAAATGGTTTAAGTAATTAAACAAGTGAATCCCTAATAACAAACATAATATAGCACACCTCCTGGCTCTACTTGTTATCAAGGTTAATTCATATAGTGAGGTCTATTGCATCATTATTGGTTGCAAATCATGTCACTGTAAAAGAACTCTAAAATGTGGTGGTGCTCATCTTTTTGATTGTGCGTTGCACACTTCTAAATTGCTTCATAAACATGTCCGAATTATTTAATTTAGAAATTCACCAAATATAAGATTGGAGTCTACAAGAAATAGGAGCCTCTTTGGAGCCTGTTTGTTTAGATTCAGCCAAATGTATTATAAGATAGTATAGATAAGGGAGCAGTTGAGTTTATTTATTTTCACTGCTATGATGCTAGTTTTGTCATTTATCCTGGTAATTATGTACATATGTATACCGGAAAAACCCAAAAATCTCGACCTTATAAAAAAAGATAAAGACCTGCCGCCACAACAGTTTTAAGATGCTAAACAATAACCCACACAGTACACCTACTTCCTTTCAATTTCAATTTATTTTTTTTTTTTGAATTTTGCTCGTTCAAAACAAGAACAATACAAGGAGGCAGAGCCAAAGTGCAATCAGAAGAGATAAGTTTACAAATTATAACACCTTATTTGTATAGATTCGTTCCAATGAGAAAGGGCATATCAAATATCAATAATATAGGTACATTATGAAAAGGAAAGCATCGTTTTTGTTTGAGAAGAAAGGGCTATGTTTAGAGTGTATCTGTTTTGATTTTCTAAAAAATCCATAGTAATCACCAAAAAGATTCTGGGATTCAATCCAAACAAGAGAAACCAGAAGAAAAAAGCACACWKAAAGGTGAGTTTAGTGTGTATTTGTGGTGCCATTCATATATGATTATGCATTAATCTCCTCAAAATCCATAGCAATCACCAAAAAGATTCTGGGATTCTTCAAAGAATTAAATAGAAACTATAACCAACCACAAGAAGATTAAAAAAACACACACAGAAAGGTGAGTTTAGTATGTGTACCATTCTTATCAGGAAGAAGAAGAGAGACAATGGTTGCACCCCAATTGGTGAATTTAACAGAAAAATGGCCATTGTTGATTTCATAAATCCCAATTTCATGTTTTGAGGTAAATAAATGAAAGAGGATTGGATAAGAAAGGGCTTACATGATTCAGATTAGGAGGTAACCGGTCTATCAAAGTAGTTGAGTCCTCTTTGTTATATAAGAAGTTATATGTATCTGGACAACAAGTGTAGAACTGAGTGTTAGAATCACATCATACAACCAACATGACTACAATAAATAGCTGTAAAATACATTTGGATATGAACCTCAAGACAAGAACATACACACACAAAAAAATTACTTTGAATATTATTAGACAATGCAGCCAAGAAAACATCAACATAACAAAACGGATAGGCGAATACAATTATCAATTTGACGAATTTGCTAGTAGCTTATTATAAACTTATTCCTAGCTGTCTTTTGTATTTAAGTTTCACCAGATTGTTTTGTATCTAAAACATTAAAAATCTAACATAAATACATTCAAAGAAATCCGATAGCCTAAAAATACCATCACCATGAACAAGCATCAAGCATCAAGCACCAAATTGCCACT